TATATCAATCAGTATAAGCGGTAACAGTTTATTTACAATTTACATCAACTTATCAACATTACACATACAACGTCTTGTTCGATTTGGATGCTGGGGCCTGTCAGGGGGCTGGAACTGGCGCGGCGCCAACACGTTTTCCTCCGATTGTTGTCTCTTGCACGTTTCAACAACTGGTGAAGAACTGGCAGGCGCCGTGGCAAACTCAGGTTTCCTGACACGCCCCTGCAACCGCAGCGAACAAGGCTCGTTGATACTGCTGCAGTCCAGCGGGCAGTGTCAGGAGGCGTGGAATGAGCCCACCCGCGGCTGCGTTTTATACCAATGGTGATCTGGTCAGATTAAAAACCACAAATGGTAGAAAACGTGGAAGGTGTGTTCATTCCAAGGGTCCCGGCCCCTGTCCAACTGCGGCCATATCAACTGCAATATATCAACCGTCTTAAAATTGCACGTCGTGTAATATTGGATCTTGTGAGTGACTGGGACTGATACTTCCATGATTTGACGGGGAATCTGAGCTTTGAGGTGCTATAGGGTTTTCGATACCCTCATATTCGGCATGGACTACTTTCACACCTCTATACAACACATAGTGTTGTATCATAAAGATAATATCGAAGAAGATTGATACTAGACCCAGGCCAAATTTTACAGGATTCCCATAGAAGGCCACCCAGTCGTCAACGTTGACGCACTGAAGTACCATCTGTAGGATGTCCAGCGAGCCACCAGTGAAATCCAGGAGAACGTTGCCAATCGACCATCCAACAGTGCTTTTCCGTTTGAAGTTGAAAAACGTCTGGAACAATGCACAATTGATTGTAAGAATACATTCGTATCCAAAAATCAGTCTTTTAATTGGCTCTGTAAGGAAAACCTGAGGGTATTCGGCTTAGAGGGGATGGGAACACTTCGCACTTTCGCTAGTTTCTTTTGCAGGTTCCCGATAAATTACACGTATCACCTTGTTGAGACCTGTAGACTCTTGTCCCTTTACAGGAATTCACAGGTCTCCGCAGCAAGCATCGGGGTATGTGATATAAGCGTAAGGCAGCGTTCAGAGCTTCGCGACGACGAGCGCGACTTCGTCCGCGTTCGCGTGATCGATGCGTATGCTATTCGAGGACTGCATGCGATTCGGGCGTAGAACGGCGCAGACGGCAGCGCTGGTGGGTATGGCGAGCGGACGTCTCCCGTGGCCACACCCACCAGTGTGGACGAGATTTCCCCCTCTTGACCCGGTTGACGTGAACTGAGCGATGGGGAAATTTTGATATCGATCCCCGCGTCATGGAATCTTGCGCTTGCTTGAAAACACATGACGAGTCTCGCGCTGGTCTAATCGACAAACTGGTGCACATCGAAACTTGCCCGCGCTTAGCGCCTAATGTAGGACTGTGCTGTCCCGTCTCCCAAGCATCGGTAGTGATCTACTGGGAGCCAGCAAGATGGCCAAAGCTGCCTAAAACCATTCTGCAGCATGAAGACCAATCAAAAGAAGACTGTTGCCCCCAACAATAAGGGACCACGTTCGCAATAATTTCGATGGGTGACCATGGTGCCTTCCTCCTCATTGGTCTATCCCTCTCGGGAAAAGGAGGCGCGCACGCTGAGTCGGGCAGCGTTTATAAGTCTCCGCCTGTTCAGTTAAGTGGAAACAGTCTTTAACTTTGGTTCTGCATATGTAGCATTACACTTGAGTCCTGCTCAGTGGATTCTGCTGAAGCCATCCAACCCATACCAAGCCACTTGGATAAATGCATACCTGAGGAAAATATTTAGACAGGGTGACTGCCATTTTGATGTACGAGAAACACATGACGAACTGAAGAACGTTGATGAGGTTGAAGGCGCTGGCCAGTCCTGCACATGAGGCGAAAAAGATCAGAATCGAGGATAACATAATGCATATCTTCGAAACCCGTTGACCGTTTCGCTGAAAACTGTTCATCAGCGGCAATTCCATAAGTAAGGAACAAAATCACTGCTTAAAAAGGCAAACCTCGTATATAAAGCACTGCGCAGCTGTTACAAGACAAGCCAAAAAAGCATGTACAGCAAATACAACATCGTTAAGTAAAACTGGTATCGGGCTTTTAGGATGTTTGTGCTTATAGCGTGCCTGCAAAGGAAAATATTTCTGAAAATTTTAAGAAAAAAATGTTGCAGTCGGTTTATGGAAGTTCCTCCCCAATCTTGACCCACAACCTCCATCATTCCCTTCAAGGGGTTGCGAAGCTGCAGGCTAACTCTCTGTCTCGCATTTTGAAAAAAACTTTCTGCTCTTTTCAAAATGCGTGGTTTAAGACACAATCCAAGCCGGCCATATGGGCGGAGACAGTCTACCAGCACGGCACGTTCTGCCAGTGGGGGAAAACTTTGCAGTACACGACGACTCTCCCTCGAAATTTCCTCTTCTAGCGCAATTCTCTGCTCCATCCCCATCCTACCTAACTCATCACGGACTTTCTTTCAAAAATTCTCTAGCTTTTTCCAGTAAAAAAGGCGTCGGTTGAGAGCCGGGCGAGGGAAGAGAAAGGGGTATAGAGAACGGATAGTCGTCTAGTAAAATTTACCTGTACACTGGGGTCATAGTACATGAAAAGATTATATAGACTGTAGGCTGCAAAGCCAATAATATTCAATAGAAGAAAATCAAAGTTGAGTCCTGTGACACTGAAAAAGAATTCTTCTAAATACTGTGAATCTTTTTCTACTGTAAAGTTTCATGAGTGAGTGACTCCCATTTCGTAGAAGGGTTTAGTAAGTATAGCTGTCCTAAACTAACCTTTTTCTTCTGAAATTCAAAATAATCTGAGGATAAAACGACAAGCTCCAAGCAAAGAAATACATCCATCCCACTATGATAGTGAACAATTGGATGAGATGTGACTTGATCACGGATACGCGAACGAAAGCATCAGCGATACTGAAAGTAAATGATGAAGCATCTGAAGTGGATCATATGCCTATATGGGCACAAGGAGGCGTAGGTGGCAGGTGCTTACCTTGTCGCCTGGACCGGAGGTCGATCCCAGACCGCTCCCCTCTGAACCGACCGAGCCTTTCACCCTCCGGGGACTGTAAATTGGTACCAAATTCGTATGGGAGGAAGAGAACACTGACTTGTATACCAGCCAACCCCCGCAAGTCATTGTATAGGCCACATCGCATTCACTAAGCCACTACGATTCTGAATGGAAGTAGAATGCGTGCCGCATCCCACAAAGGGATTGATCAACGGCGAAAAGTTTGTCCTTTATGTACGGCAGGGTGCAGCATTGCCAACGTTGGGAGAAGAGTTGTTGATCCTTCGCGATTGTTCCCGTTATACGCGCATTTATATAGGATCTTTTACGCTGAGGCGCTCAAGGCTGAGTTTGTCGTTGCCATTGCCGAATTGGCAAGTAACCATCTGTTCCCCACCATCCGTGAAAGCTGGCGCCGCGCCAAACCCAGCCCCTGTGAGACGTACCGGGTCCGCAGCAAACAAGATTATTTACATCCCCCTACCTTCCCCCACCAGTACCCGCTTGGCGTCAGTTTCCTAGGAAAACTGGAGGAATATTTGAGGATTGGGAGGATCCGAGAAGATGGTAGATGACATGGGGAAGGAGTCCTATCGGGAGAGAAAAAAATAAGATGGAGGGGAGGTCGTATCGACATTGCCATTTCACCCATTCCGATGCTGTACCCTGTCCCCGTAGAATGTGAGAATCCAACTTCAGCCACCTCTTTCTCATTCAACCATTTTGCAAAAGAAAATCCGTACGTCCAGGGAGCAAAAAAAACACCAGAATGTTGAGAATCTCTATTTTTAGACTTTCCACGACATCACACTGATTCAAAACCTTCTGAACAAAACACATACCGCCTTCACCCCTTCACAGTGACTTTTTTACGACCCAATCCTTGTTCAGCGCTCCTCAAGACCTGTCCAGATCGCAAAGCTTTTTAAGAAATTTACAACCCTTAAAAGTCATAAACAGTGAAGAAATCTGTCATCCTCAATACACCTGTGTTGTTTGATCACCGAGAATTTCCAAAAAAGTCTACCACCTACTTTTTTGACAGGCCTCACCTTCAAAGGGCATTTGGGCGCTGATAAGGGTCGCGAAGGTAATCAGAAAAAGAAAAGTACATGGATCGCGTATGACTTAGATTGTGACTTACTTTAGTTCACATTTCGTTGTATTACTCCGGGTGGTACAGCTTGTCACCTCAAGATATGTCAAGCTGATCGGTTTACGGCCAGTAATTGGCAATATGCCGCGACCCGTCGACTGTGACAGAGTTACATGATCAGTTGAGTTAAAATATTCAGAATGATTTAAATACAGTTGTACATCGGACACGAGAGGGACCCTGAAATGAGAAATTCTTAATTACGAGTTTTTTTGGACGTGAAGCTCCGGTAGAAAAATTGATACCGTCTTGGTTTTTTCTTCAAAAAAAGAAATACATACCCAGCTTGGTAAGTGATATTGGCGGTCTCGTTGATCTCCACAAGTACATCAGTTGGATTAGCTGTTAGGTTCTGTTCAGCGCCCAGAATCAATGACAGACTAGAAATACATACTGCCAGGCAGACAAGTAACCTGACCACCATACCGGTGGATCCCTAAAATCAAAAAGTAAGATTGTTGCCTCGAAACCCCGCTAGGGGTACGGTACTGCTGCGAATTTCCCGAACATTGGCACTTTAGCGGCGAAGTGACATAAAATGAATACAATGAAACGAGGTACACTCCACATCTATGAGACGCGGTAGGCGTGACTGCATACTTCATTCGAGCATGACGCAAGATGGGTTGTTCATCAGTTGACCATATTTCGGTTTGAGACAACTGTCATCCTGCCTTGTTTATGACAAGGCATTATACAGCCCTAAAATGAAAACATCACCAAAAGCGCAGCCGCCGCCACCTTCGGTGTAAATACGCAGCCAGGCCTATCGTATCTTTGAATATAGATAAGCTCCTTTTCACAAAAACGGTAATGCAAACTAGTTAACTGTATGATCTTTTCCGGAGTAATAAAACGCCCTTTTCCTCTGGACGCCGAACATCTCTCAAGTCAATGCGAATTGCGTGACGAGCAGAGTCCAATTCATCAGCTTGGAAACCGTTAGCCATACTTTCCAGGAAACAATCTGCGGTCTCGAAGTCTCCAAGTACGTGCAGCTCATACCCCGGAAGACGGATCAGGTTCATCAGTAGGCCATCCCTGTGCTGACAGCTTCATCACACCTCAAGGACATATACGACGAAGATACGGTTGAATCCATATCGTTGTGCTGGGATTTGGGGGTATGTGACAAGAGAATCGTTACTCGCCGCGTGGGTGGGCGCGCGGCGAGTTACGATTCTCCCCTTCTCCGATTTTATTTCATCTCTGAATTGCCTATGTCGCCATCTACGACCGGAACCATCGTCGTTTGCGTGCGACTAGTGCCCGCAAACGACGATGGTTCAGGTCGTAGATGGCGACATAGGCAATTCAGCCGCGAATATTGTCGCGCGCGGCGGAACGGCAAATTACGATTCTCTTCCGTCTCCCGGGAGTGGGGCAGAAAAAGCAATTGTCCCACTCACCGTAGGTGGATCGTCTCCCGCCAAGACCAACCAAGCTTTTAATCCAGTAAACTGAAACGTTGAGAAAGGTTTAGAGACCAAGTAAAACACCTATGAGCGTGAGCACTATCTAGGGTCAAAAATTCCGCTCCGTCAGCGACCCCGGTGGCGTACCCGATAGCGCACTCGCCCGGAAAGCGTGAAGTGCGGGTTCACCGCCTGGGGCTTGACTTTTGC